TGAGCCCCGCAACCGTGCAACGGGCCCTCTCTATCTCTCTCTCTCTCTCTCTTTTCTTTTTTTTGCATCTTGAGCTCCCTCATATATATTGGGATTTGCTGGCTAGAAGCGGTGAAAGAAGGGAGCATCAGTTTGACTTGCACTGCTCTAATAGCTTTTGCATTTGGGAAAGAACGCCAGCATTGAGATCGACGAATTCAAACATTCTACTGGAACCCCCTCCCGAGCTCCCTCTACCTGTGTTTGTCTGTCTGTACCCCTCTTTTCAAAACCTCATCTGCTCCTTTTTTTTTCTCCCTCTATATCGTTTCATCATCATCGTACCCTACGTCTTGGTACGGTAAGAAACAATAAAAAATAAAAAAACATAACTGGACTGCAGCAGAGTACATACTGCGTTTTACCCAACCAACCAAACCGGACAAAAAGAGCCAACCAAGTAGGGACGGAAAGGAAAATAATGAGTCTCCTCCACGCCCCCAACGAAACGACGCCATTGTCTCAACTTTTCTCTCTGGCGGGCAAGGTCTGCCTAGTGACTGGAGGCAATAGGTAAGTGTCAAAATCCATCGCGCCCCAGACCAGAAAAAAATAATTCTTCTGAACAATGCCAATGCATTCCAATATACAGAGGCATTGGTCTCGCTGTCGCTACTGGCTTCGCCGAAGCGCAGGCCGCCGGTCTCGCCATTATCCACTCCTGTGCGGCGACGGCAGAACTTGCCGCCACACGTGCCGCCGAGATCCACGCAAAGTACCCGCACACGGAGGTACGGGTGTACCAGGCGGACGTGTCCAAGGCGCAAGAGATTGAGGATGTGACGCGAAGGGTGTTTGCAGAATTTGGCAGGCTAGATGTAGTGGTTGCAAATGCGGGTGTTTATACAGAGACCCCCGCGTTGGATATGAAGCCCGAAGAGGCCCAATTTGTTACGGGCGTCAATTATTTTGGGCCCTTGTATACAGCACAAGCGGCTGCTAGGTATGTGTGATGTCCTCTTCTGTTCTAGTAGCTACTTTAGGGTGAGGGCTTGATGTGGCCACTAGTGGCGAGCGACAGTAGGGGGTGCTCGGTAGTTGTTGTTACTGCTGTTTATTGACTAAGGTGTTTAACGTTTAATGTGTGACCTTACAGAATTTTCAAGGACAACGGGGGTGGGAAGATCATCATGACGGCCTCAATAAAGTATTCCCCCAATGTTATTCCTTTTCGCTTCCGGATTCCGGTCTGGTCCTGAGTTCAACCTTGTCTACCAAGTTTAAACTGAGTTAATCACGTGATATAAAAAAATAGTGGTCACATGGTCCTTCGCCCACAGTACGAATCAATTGTACGCGGAACCCCTCCTGGATATCTAAGGAAGTTCCCAGATTGGATAAAGTATTGACGATAAGGCAATAGTACTGTGCAACAAAAGGGGCCGTCTGTCACTTAACCCGCGCACTCGCCGCCGAGTTCGCAAAATGGAATATCCAAGTCAATGCCGTGAGTCCTGGCTACATCGACACTGAGATGTAAGTACTCTGCTTTTTACTCGCCTAAATTATCAATCCAGTATCTTCATGCGAGGTTTTTGTTTCTAAACCCATGAAAACAGGACCACGGAATTGGTAAATAAGAACCCGGAGCTAATAAAGGCATGGATGAACGACTGCCCTGCGGGGAGGCTCTGTAAGGTGTGGGAATTGAAGGGTGTCTATGTGTTTCTAGCTAGCGGGGCTAGTTCATATGTGACGGGCGCAGATTACGTCGTTGATGGTGAGTTAGCCCTTATATTCGATAAGTAAGAATTGATTAGGGGGGTTGAAAGTGGGGCTAACTTCGTGATCCATCAGGTGGTCATACGGTCTACTGAAAACTCAATTGAACTGAGGGGCAGAGTAACAGGGCTGAGATTGGGTTGGTGGTAATTGTTAATTGGTTGATTTTTATGTTTACTCGAGTCGTGATAACTACCGCTAGGAATCAAAAACAAGCTAGCAGGTATCATAATCCCTGAATGTCAGTGCGCAATACACGGTTCACACTGTGGTCTTGAAAGACGTTTCTCAAGCTAGAATAGTCTGTGACCTCCGGGAACTAACAAAGACAGGCTGAATGTTCTTTGATGATGCAGGTAACCGGTACATAACCGAGTGATCGAGCATGTAACTCCCGTGTCCGGACTGGTGAACGACGCCTTTTTTTTTAAAAAAAAAAAATAGGTCATGCACAACAGTGCAATTAGGCATGCCCGTAGTACCAGCTGAGTATGTCCATGCATGAAGTATACGGAAGCCGTTAATTGCTTTCAGCCATTTAGTAGAGCAACCTGTCAACCTACATGCAAGTGTAGTCATAGTCGGACTTTCTGCATTGGGGAATTAGTACAATTGAAAACATCCTAAATCCTCGCCTCTCTAGCTCACCTGGTGCTTTAAATTTCCCCGATTGACCTCTCAACGCGTTCCACACTAGAAACCCTGAGACTCATCTAATGTTCTAGATTTGCCCGTATCGAATCAGAGAATAGAAACTTCAACGGTCTACTACGTAGTGTAAGTAGTTAGACGCGTGTCTCACTTCACATATAAAGTACATGTATATAACACGCTGTCATATACCTGTGCAGGTACTCCACACACATGTACCTACGTACTTGTACATATGTATGTACATGTGCGTAATTGATCAGCACATGTACGCTGACCCTGGACTGGTGCAAGCAGAAATGAGGGGTGGCTAGAGATGTATGTATTTCGATGTAGTGTCCAAAATATGTGGCTAAATCTTCGATTCGAAATGTCTCCAGTTAATTTGAAGCTCATCAGTTGAGCTTTACTCCCAATGCACAGCCAATGTACCTACTCTAATTATATCAGTAATCAGGGTTTTTTTCTTTCTCATCCCGTTGATTCAGATACCTCGGGTGGAGGAGCTCATGTTTTTTTCGGTTTTTTTCTTTCGTTTAATTCATTAATCGAAGGAGCTCATGCTCCGAGTATACCAATTCGGCCAATAGTTATAATCCGGTAAGCAGTTTAGATCGCCACTCCGATCAAATCTCTCAAATACTCACAGTGCGCACTACACCCATCAAGCTACCGGTTTCATGGTACTTAAGATCTCATAGTTGAAACCTTTGTAAAAAAAAATACTGACCTAATACTGTTACACTGAGATTATCATCGGGCTAGTGGAGCAGTATACGAGCAATATGAAATCAGTCTATATGTCAAAGATCTGGTGATACGTTCCATAACCTCTGACACCTTGGAAAAGTAACAGGGGTATATCAGTGCGCATAATCTCAGATTGTAGATCCCTAGCCCTGATGTGACACGCGCGTCAACCGCACAAATCACGGCACCGCAAGGTTTTCTCTTTGAGGATACCCACTCTAGATCAAGATCAAAAGGCGAAGGTATTCACAACTATTATCAATAAAGACATTGTAATTGTGATAAGTCTCGAATCGTCTATAACTATGGCCATTGTTTTGATATTTGAGTGATTAGTAGTACGATATTTAAAGGTGTGGTAGGAACCTATCGGAATGTTTTTCGATATCGGAGGAAGAAGAGTTAACACTCTATCTGTGTTGGGTTCCCTTGACCGTTGATTTCCACTATAAACGCGATGCGAGGGAAGATGTATACCAACTTCTATTCACGATAATTCGTAGGCCACGTTACGATCCAACATCATAGCATCATAGAGGCCGTCACACAACCCCCACGCTCGTGTTGGGGGGGAATGGCCATTGGGAAAGCTGCACGAAGTCAGATAAAATGACATTAGCCAGGATCTTAATTCTCAAAGTATGTATGCTCTACCAGGTTTCTTCACCTTCATCGATGGTCAGTCTAGATGGAAATCAAGATCCACCTGCCAGACTAAAAAGCTTCAATTGGTCCTTGATCTTTGCCGGTAAATTGTGTTTTTCTTTCTTTTTCTATTCTTTATTCCTAGGGCTTCGTTTCTCCCGTATAACATCACTGACGTGTAGAAACCGGGAATCGAACGTCCAGTTAGGGAAAGCTTAATTATACCATAGGTCCATTAATTTGCAGCATCCGCGGATCCGGTATGTGCCTATCTTTTCTGGAAATGTCAAATGGTGCTATGCATATCGACTCGGTAGTTTTTAATGTTTATTCCCAACCTCCAAGTCTCACCTCATTATGGAACCAGAGCTGAGGAACCGGAGAAGGAAGAAAGGAAGTGCAGATCCACGTAATTGGAAGGATATTAAATTGTGATAATCATAAACACGCGGTTAACCATCGAATCTGTCTTTCCAATTAAGCACTATGATGGTGCTCCACCGATCTATAAGGTATGCAGATTCTGCTGGTTGCTTTAGCGTGGGGAGATTGTGAGGTGTGGTCACGCCATGACCCCCCACGATGTCACGCATTTGTTCCCTGTACCTACAACTAGCAAGGTGGGAGAAGGGCCCTGAACATGCTGTTTGTGCTGATTCTGACGCTTTTTAGCTCGCCAGCCATATATGTGAACGATATGACCACACCTTATCCCTCTGCTATCGGGATTAATTGCAGCCACAGTGGATTTCCTGTATTTCGGGGCTCCTATCCTCATAGGTAATAATGAATCATGAGAGAGTTGTTCGGGCTACGGTAGAGATAAGCAGCCCGTTCGCCGGCTGAAGATAACTCCGGTCTAGAATCCAGATTATGGAGCTTGTAGTACCGTTTTTTGTTTGATCCCGAGGAGTGAGGGGCGCAGGGAAAGGAAGAGACCATGGCCATATCATAAACGCTAGTGCGATGGTTAAGGACAGATTTTCACACTAGTCTCAATCGAGTCATTTGTCCGGTAGGTTTATGATACACTTCAAAGTTTAAATAAAGTTATTGATCCACGTAGCATCACTCGTTTTTATTACTAACCCAAGCTTACCTTACGATTTAGAGTATGGCAAGTTGCAACTAGAGAACAAGCATCTACTGATGCCAAGTCAACAAAATTTTCATAATAAGGTCCTTAGCGTCAAGGAAGGATGACCGAGTGGTTAAGGTGTGTGACTCAAGCGTTTGCTGCTTTCTTGCTTCTAAAAAAGCGAGGTTTCTCATGGGCCTAGCCCGCGGGGGTTCGAATCCCCCTCCTTTCACGATTTATTTTTGTCAGGGCACCCCATTCGTAACAGAGCAGTCTTTGAAGGATTTCGTGACAGGAAGCCCACTTCCTTTTGATTTTAACCAGTAAAGTCTTTAAAGAGGACTATCGTGAATCTCATGGAGTTGTTCCCTCTCCAAGCTTTGGTAACGAGTCGTTATTGAGTTTTAACTCTAGTTGCTATTTAAAAACTACCATGCTAAGCTTTAACTTTAAGCCTTGAGTGATGACTCGCAGCTATCGGCTACATGAAGTGAGATTACTAGGAAACATAACGGTAAACTTGTATATGCCACGTGAATTTCATGAGAGGTGTCATTTAACAGAAACTTACCATTGTCGTCCTTTGCCCAGTGAGTTAGAATCCCTACTCTACACCCATTATAGAGTTCAGTTAAAACACAAATATTCCTTGGTGCATATATATTTGATGGCTAACCTTTCTGTGGTGTGGCACCCAACGCTTGATGAATATGGCGCTCGATAGGGCTGGAGGGAACAACATCATCAGCTCCATCGTATAACATCTAGTACATCCTCCATTCCACCAAGACTTAGAGTGAGCCCTAAATTATCGTCACTGGCCAGTTTACTACCGCCAATGAACGTGATCGGGAGTTATCGAGACCAATGGGACTCACGGAGCTGTAACTACGGATAATTCTACCGGCCAGAGAGGCCGGGAGTGGTACATTACGAAATACACCACATCAACCCAAATCGCCAGTCTACATATTCTTGGTTACAAGCCTACGACCGACACTTTTGGTGTTCTGGCAAACCCATACCAATGGGTATTCCAGGAATGTACAAGACGTAGTTTATGAAACATACAGAAATAAAAAAGAAAGAGGGCGAATATTAGAAGTTTTATTGGTGCCAACAACCACTGAATAAATTCAACTCCCATAACGCAGATAAAAGTCTTGCTAACGGTAGATATGGATGGTTTGATGATGTTGGGATATGGGGCCCAAGACTGGGTACCGGTACATTGGGTACATAATGACACCTGTAGATAATCCACATCAGTATGCGAATACGCTGATACTAAATACACACAGGATTCAAAAACTCGGGAAGATTACAAAAGAGGGCCTTAGTAAGTACCCAGATGCCGAGGATGAACGAGGCAGTGATCCCCATAAGATTATTCGTCTATTACTTTGAGTGACTTTGAGTGTCTTGTTACTTAGATGTATTTTACCTACGGTTTCGGTTAAGTCACCGAGGAATACTACAGTCTCGGAAATGAGGGTAAAGTTGCTACCGCGAGGATACGACACTGAACCAAGAATACTGGTTTAAACCAGCATAGTAAGATATCGATGCCGTATTTTCACAGCACCACTAGGGGTATCGATTGGAATACGGTAGTGAATTTCTATATATTTCCGGTACTGTACCTTCGTTTCAAGAAGCGGCACGGCGCTGTGGGCATGACGGGATACCGAGACTCATCAGCACGCCTAACCGTGTTCCAATAACAGAATAATGTGATGAGACGGAATGGAGATCTTGTCACTTATACCTGAAACTACGTATGAACTCTGTACCGGAGCTATCTTATTCTGAGAAAACATGAACTGAATTTCGCAATCTTCCCATCGCTGAGCAATCAGAGGGACTCCGGGATCCTACGCCGCCTATTTCGGATCTTGGCATTAGACGCAAGTAAGAAGTAGTAATAAAGGTCTCGCGTTTGGATTCTAATATTCAGTATAACAGTGTTTGACCGGGGTTTTCATTGGCCAAGGTTGGAATGGGTTGAATTTATTCCAGAAGCCAAATGCTCCCCAGGATTCATTGGCATTCAAAAAAAAAAGGGCCTATGTAGTTTGAAGCCGTTGACATTGGGGGGTTTTTTTTTTGCGACCACCGACAAACCCTGTTATACGTTATGACTTATAGTCTGCGTAATCTGTGGATTAAATCTGCAATTCTCTTTTCAGGGTCCTCACCTCACGTCTTGATAAAAAAAATTGAATCGCTGGTCAGTAAAATAAGGAATGCTGGAACGGGTGGATACCTGGGCTCCGAGATCGGATTGCGCAGACCGAAAGCAAACGCCTATTAAGAATGTCGAGTTTAGTTTCTGCGGGTAGGAAGGAGGCCACCGGGGCCAGGTGTGGCTAGCCACGGTGCCAAGGCTTCACTTTTAGACTCCGACTCCGGACCCGGTCTGTGGTCCTCAACGCCTCACTGGTAGCTACATGTACCACCAAGTGATATCCTTTCGAAAATGGGGTTAATAAATACCTTTTTTCTCCCGCAGCTTGATCTGTTCCCCCCACCAACTTTTCAGTTCTCTACACTCTTTTAGTACCTTTGAAAAGCAGCTGCGCTGCAAATTAATCAAGAGCCGGATTCTCTCTAAAACGACTTTCTTTTATCGTATACATTCATTCATTCATTTCCTTGATATATTTATATATCTTTACACTCTTTTGCCACGATGACGAGAATTATGAAATTCACATGTTTGATGCTGGCGGTAGTATCAGCTGCTGCTTTGCCTATTGCTGCCGACAGGTACGTTTTCTCGGGTCTATAAATCGAAACAATTATCACATTTACTAACAATTCCCACAGCGAGGCTTCCGCATCAGCTTCTTCTTCCGCCTCCTCCTCCTCGTCCGGAGGGTCAGGTGGCTCCTCAAGTGGTCGTGGGAAAACCCACAGAGTTCATGTAGGCGCTAGAGGCCTTTTCTACGACCCCCAAGTCGTCATGGCAGACGTTGGGGATGTCATTGTGTTTGAGTTTAGGGCAGGGACTCACACACTTACCGAGTCTACATTTGGATCGCCTTGCAAGAGGCTTGATGGCGGTGTTGATTCCTCCCTTTTGGCAAATCCCGAGAAGGCGGATCCAGGGCCGAAGTTTAAGCACGTGGTGACAGATGAAAAGCCGCATTTCTTCCATTGTGCGCACAAGAAACACTGCGGTAGGGGGATGTATGCATAAGCTTTCCATATCTTTTTATATTGCAACCTGATACTGATGCGTTGTGAAATAGGGTTTTTGCCATCAATCCTACTGAGGAAAAAAGCTTTGAGGAGTTTAGACTGAGGGCTATGGAGCAAGGAGAAGGGGAGGACTCTGGAGATGCCTCTTCGGGGGCCTCTAGCGGCGCATCGTCCTCATCAAGTGCGTCCTCTCAGTCAGGTAGCTCGAGTTCTTCAGATGCCTCTGCATCTTCGAAAGCTTCTTCAGGTGCCTCTTCTGGTGGTCCTGGAGGTCCCGGCGGTCCCGGCGGCCCTCCTCCTGGCGCCTCTGCCGGTGCCTCTGCCAGTTCATCTGCCGACGCCTCTGCCGGTGCTTCCGCAGGTGGGCCTCCAGGCGGTGGGCCTCCAGCAGGTGCTTCTAAGGCTTCTGCAGGTGCCTCTAGCGGAGCTTCCGCTTCCGCCGATGCATCTTCCTCTACGGGCGGTCCTCCAGGCGGTGGCCCAGGCGGTCCTCCAGGCGGTGGCCCAGGCGGTCCTCCAGGCGGTGGCCCAGGCGGTCCTCCAGGCGGTGGTCCTCCAGGAAGCGCTGCTGGAGCTTCAGCCGGTGCGTCATCCGGTACTTCCGCAGGTGGTCCTCCAGGTGGCGGTCCTCCAGGAGGTTCTGGGGCTTCCGCCGGTGCCTCAGCCTCTTCAGATGCCTCCGCATCTTCGGGTGCAGCAGGTGGGCCCCCGTCAGGTGGACCCCCAGCAGGTGGACCCCCAGCAGGTGGGCCACCTCCAGGAGCCTCTAGCGGAGCCTCTGCTTCTGCAGATGCTTCCGCGTCTGCCGGTGGCCCTCCTAAGGGCCCTAAGGGGGGTCCTCCCGGTGCCTCTGCAGATGATTCTACAGGTGCCTCCGCTTCTTCAGGTGCTTCTGCTTCCTCGGGTGCTGCAGGTGGACCTCCTTCCGGTGGCCCCCCTAAGGGAGGCCCAGGTGCCTCAAGTGAAGCTTCTTCTTCTGCTGATGCGTCTGCCTCCGCGGGACGCCCTCCCAAGGGAGGTCCCGGAGGCCCTCCAGGAGGCGCAGCTTCCGGTGCTTCATCAGAAGCTTCTGCAGGCGCTGGTGGACCCGGTGGACCTGGTGGGCCCGGTGGACCCGGTGGACCCGGTGGACCCGGTTCGGGTACTACAGGAACCTCTTACTCATCCTCATCGTCTTCTTCGTCATCCTCATCCGCCTCGTCTTCCTCCTACTCCTCTTCTAGCGGTAGCGGCAAGCCACCTGGCGCAGGTCCTGGCGCTTCATCCCAGTCTTCATCCAGCAGCAAGGCAGGAGCTGACGGCACCGGATCCTCAAGCAGCTCCGGTGCTGAAGCGGGAGCAGGCGGCCCCGGTGCCTCATCGAAAGCTGGAGCTTCATCAGGTGCCAGCGCTGGCGGGCCTGGCGGACCTGGAGCGGGTAGCAGCAGTAGCAGCAGCAGCTCAGCAGGTGCAGATGCGGATGGGTCTGGCGCTACGAGCTCGTCCTCGTCCCGCAGCAAGTCTGGTGGCGGCGGCCCAGATGGAAGCGGAAGTGAGTCTTCAAGCTCCGCGTCTTCTCGCAGTAAGTCCGGTGCCCCTGGGCCATAAGTTGACGGTACCGTATCTGGGAGGGATAAAGCTCCTGCAGGCGCCGGTGCTTAGTGAGGGGGTGCTTTCTTATTTTGGAGTACGTTTGGTAATCACATTAGTTACATGGCTTTTTCTTTCCGTTCTGGGTTTCCTTTTTGTGTGGATATGCTGGAAATTTTTTAGCTGGTCACTGCGTATACAGGTGTTTTATTTTTGTTTTTATTACTATATTGTTTCTTTTCGGTTTCGCGGTACGCAATAGAGATATCAAAAAAGAAAAAAAAGGAATCTCTATCATCCGTTCACCTTGTAGATTTGGAAGCTACTCCATACTAGAGTAGTAGCGGAGGAATATGTGAACAGACAGCATACTCGTATTCACCCAACCAATCCCATGGGTGCACTTACCGGAGCTTAGCTATGTAAAGTAGTGGAGTACATACATGTAGTACCTAGCTT